GCTTTCCTTTGTGAGTGGGATGTGTTTGAGAATGAGATCAGACAAGGCGTTTTGCGGAATTGATGAGAGATGAACAGATGCTTGTATTCCGTGTCGACATGCCGAGTGTGTGCAGACAGCATCTGTAACCAGTTGTGACACCACTACGCATGATGAGCTTCTACTACACATGGATCTGCACGCCCCCCTTTTAATTACAAGTTTAGTGTAGCCTCTGCACACTCTCAAACAAATCTGTCCCTTCTCCAGAGAGAGACGAATCACAGCTGAAAGCTGCAGAACAGAAGTTATGGCAATAACTTGGCCCGGCTTGCTGATCTGCACAATGGTCAATGAGAAAGAACAGCACCATCCCAGCGAGAGCTTATGGCCTTCACTGAACTTTTCAAGCAACTGCAGCTTGGACTGGTGCTGCTGACCAAGCCATGCTACAGCACTGTCCTGTGAGAACGCCAGGGCAAGATGTGGTTAGCAACGGTTGGTGCAAGCTCAGGATAGAGGAGGCCTATCTGCATAATATAACCCATAGGAGACCTGGAGCACATCTAGCATCACTCTCCTTACTCAGCACACACTCTCCTCCTGATCCCCCTGCTATCATTAAAATGTAATGCAGCTCCAGCCAACCTAAGATTCCTTGCTGGACCTTGATCAAGTAAGAGTCAGACGCCTCCACTAGTGCGTGTGTAGTCACAGAGAAAAGTGGATTTGGTAACGTAGCGAGCGCACGTTTTATTAATTACTCAAGATGGGTCTCCCTAAGGCCAGTGGCACTGCTAGTCACATATATACACCTGTTTTTATACAGTGTCAGGACATGGGCTCATGTTCAAAAGTATCCAGACACCCCTTCTAAGTTGAAAACTCAATTTGGCCTGTGAGGACGTATGATTTGGCCCGCTAGACCGTTACCCCAACCCTCCCACTCACTATAAGTATTCTATGTTAAACTTATTAAATTCCTATTTTCCTTTTGTATTTGACTATTTCAGTAATAAAATACAGTGCCATTTTATAAAATACATGTTTACAGCTTGATTTGAAACCCTCTCATCTTCTTTATTTGTATATTGTTTTGTCTTTTTTGGCCCTCCGCCCAACACAAACATTGCATCTTAGCGTCCCCAAGAAGTTTGAGCATCATCACTGTCCTATGAAAACCTAAAATCTTCTATTTTACACCATTTGAAAACTGTGCTCTTTACATTGTGCGAGCATGTTATAACAAATGGCTTTGAATAAGATGTTACATTAATGTCTACAAACACAATGTTAAGAATCACTTTGCTTATACTAATGTTTTAGCAAATGTTTTCTCCTTTAGTTAAGAGAGACAGAAGTATGCAGCATTTACAAAGTCAGGACCATTTTGCCATTCCTTAGGGTTGCCACCCATCCAAAATTTTCCTGGATTGTCCTGGATTTTGGTGGTCTGTTAAAGATTAATGAATCCATTCCCAGCCACAAAATCTTTTTAATATGTTACCATTTGTTACGAAGTTTAAGCTGATTCTTTTTATCCTAACAAACCACTGAAATTCAAATAATGGGTTTGACTGGTTCAGATCAACATAGAAACAATAGCTTCAGAAAGGTGCACTGTTGGTGATACGTGTAGCACTAGACAGCATTGCAACGCAAAAACTAAGAAGATTAGGTAGCTGATTTATGAATGTAGCTAACCAACCACTGAATTCAGCTAAAAATCAAGTCACTGATTAAGTGGTAATTTAACAGGGACGAATTTTACAACCTCATACAACACACACACACACACAAAGCTCTCACTCCTCCCTGTAGGCATGACAGAGTGAGAGAATAAAAAGGAGGATCAGGGAGAACACTAGGAGGAAAGAAAAGAGACGGAGGGCAGGGAGTTGTCACAGGCCTATCACAGCAAAGCAGGGCATGGATTAGTGCAGTGAGCTGTTAGCACTGTGATTAGCTCAACACCAATTTCCCCACCTTTCTTCATAATACAATCACATTCATATCACCCATTCAAACAGAGCTCTCAAACCCACCACACAGCATGCACAGATCAGGGATTTACACTAATAGGTTTATCTTATGGCTTATCACTGACAGCCAATTCAAGCACTGTACACTAAACCTATAGCAAATCAAGATCCTATCTTTGATGAAGCGGTTTGGCTCTACCTGACTAATTCTTGTTTAATTACACATAATCACATGACATACCATCACCCAATACTGATTACACAAAATGCTGTGTCTGCAGTACTGCAGTGAAAAGCAGCAGGGGCATATAAAGCTATTGTGTGGTTGAGGCCTGTCCCCTCTAAGATAAGTAGTTGACTAATCAGCCATAGTGTTGCTGGGCAACTAAGATTCTGTCAGTTTATTTATTTGTTCGTTTGTTTGTTTGATTAGATAAATGAGTTGTAGTTAAAACTATATATATATTTCTGGTTCAAGTTTGCGAGATTGGACCATGGAGCCAGTGAGTCTCTGTATAAATTGAATAACTGTTCTGTTGTCTGTTGTACTGAATATATTGATCATGTCCATCTGCGTATTCTTGTACATACTTCAAAATTTGCCAAATATTTGCTGCAAATGTGATGTGGGTCTACCACTTTCAAAACTGAAGTGTGTGAGTTAAGGCTGGTGCTGGTAACACAATCCTCTTATTCAGTTCAGTGTGTAGAAAATAAATAGGTTAAAGAATATACTTTTTTTCCCCTTTGCTTTGGTAATTAAACTGTAACTGATCTTGTAAGAAAGAATTATGAATGTCACATACTGTTTTTCTATGGCAGCTTAGCCTGATGCTATTTGGTCCAAGGTTGTTTCACATGAGGCCATTTCGCCAGAGCTGAGACACTACAATGTTTTTCCCTACACCTGAGGCTGTATGTCTGAAACCTGCTTTTGTGGTCTGTGGACATCCTAAAGTGTACATTGTATCATAGGTTGCTTTTTGTACAGGCAGGATATCTACCAGCTGCAATGGCACACAGCAGCCCAAACACACTCAACCAGCGCAGCTCAAAGACCGTATTTATTAAACAATTTCTAGGTACAATAAATATGGTATTAAATGTAGGATATCGCAGGAAATGAGCTTTCATCATCACTGGGGTCTTGGTTAAGCGTTACTGAGCACATGCCTAACACTCTTACACTATATTTTATCTAGCCATGCTTAAAAAGTGTTAAAAAAATATTCTCAATAAATGATTGAGTGAAATATTAAGTTTTGCATCAATATTTTACAGTCAGATGTAACTAATAATAAAAGTTCTAAAAAGGGTACTGGAGTGATGACATAGGGGAACTGCTTTTGGTTCCCTAAAGAACCTTTCAATGGATGAGTGTCTGAAGAATCATTCTGTAAGCATGCAAGGGTAAAGAATCTTTTAAAAGTGTTTGCTAGAACTGTACGCCCAAGCCAAGAACCAATTAGGAACATGTATTTTTAAAAGTTGTTTATTTATTAGCCTTTTTAAAAGCCCTAGTGTGGGCAGAAAGAACATGGCATGACTTCCAGATTCCTACTGTCAGCACAGCTTTATGCAACAAAACCTCAACAGCACAGCTGGCAGGGGAGCCTGGCCTTTCCAACAACTACCAGAGCTGTTCTGGAGCTTGCTCTACATCACTTCAGCCATTCTCAGCTACATACTTAAAATAAAGGGGACATGATGGTTCTTTGGTGCAACGCTGTAGAAGAACTGAAGGCTTCTCCTGGAACTTTACACCCAAGCCAAGAACCATTCAGAAACCTTTATTTGTACACTCTGAACATCGCAAGAAAACAGCATTTGAGATCTGGTTTCCCAAACTAAACCTTCTGCTCATCCAAGCACAGCCCTACAAGCTTCTTTAAGCTTCAGTCTGTCGCTGCCAGCCAATCTCCAGTCACCTTCCTCACTGCCCCACTCCGCCAGCCAGGTGTGAGCTTGCTGTGGCTGCGGTCACTTACCACTCTCTACCAAACATCCCCGGTCAGTTTATTCACGGCCTGTTCTAGCCCCTGGAGCTTTAAGGACTGTGCTGTGCTCAGGAGGGCTGCAGTTACAGATGTACCCTGAGGCTGGGGCAGGACTATTTCAGGGCCCTTATACTGCTCAGACCCTCGAAGAATATATTCTGATGGTGATGAACACTGACTAGGCTACCAAGAGCCAGAGGTGGTGTTATATGAGGTGTTTTAAAAGCTACACAAAAACTGTGTTTGCATGGGACTCTGATTTTGCTGTTCAGTCGCGTATATGTTTAATTGGATTTCGGTCACAAGCTTTTTGGTTTGGAGTTTGATATGTTGTTGATATGACTATTGTAATTCTTATGATGATATATGAAAAGTATGTAAAACATTTTTACATGGTTGCCACATTATGAAACCATAACTACGCTCTAAGTCCAGAGCACATTGACCCAACATTCTCCAATAAACACTGATTAACCAATTCCCTGGGTTGGTGTACCAAACCTGTGTGTGATTGTGAGGAACCTCTAGAACGCTTTCATCTCACAGTTTAATTTGGATTATGAGTTTGTATACAAGTGGATTATGAGGCTGCCTTTATATTGTGAAACTTTCAGGAAAGAATATGCAGGAGTGATGGTGCATGAAACAACTTCTATTTTGTTTAATGCAACTTGCATCCTGTTTTATTTTCTCGTTCATGATTTGTCAGTCAATTGAAATAATACATTTGACGTGATCACATCGTATACTACTGGCATTCTGATTGGCTATTTGATGAAACTAATTTCAGTTGTGATGGTTGTAACTGCTGCAGCAGCATTTCAAACAAGTTACAAATGAGTTGCACAAGTGAAATTTAGTTTCATGTAAGTTTCAAGCAACAAAGGTTTCATATAAAGCCAGCCTAAAACTGCCAACATTAGAATGCTGATGTTTGCTTGAGACCATTGGGTCATTTGGCTTGCCTCCTGTAACGTCTGCCTTACCAGTACTGTCTTTCTAAGGGCCAAAGCAGTTAATGAAAGTAAAGAAGAACACTTACAGCCCACCATCATCATGGCCACAGAGAAGATCTTCTCCCCATCCGTGGTTGGAGCGATGTTACCAAAGCCTATGGTAGTTAGGCTGGTCATGGTGAAGTAGAGTGAAGATATGTAGAGAGTGTCCTTACTGGGGCCTCCCTCCCACTGGCCTGATCCGCTGGCATTATACCGGTAGGGTGTGCCAATGCTGATGGCTAACTGATAAAGCCAGCTATCAGTCTTGATGGTGTTGGTGACTTCGTCGATGACTTCATAATCACCAATGCTGTACCAGATACAGGCTAGCCAATGAGCTACCAAGCCAAAGACACAGACAAGAAGGACCAGGACAGCAGCTCCGTACTCCAAATAGTGGTCCAGCTTTCGAGCCACACGCCCCAAACGCAGCAGACGCACCACCTTCAGTGAGCTGAAAAGGCTGCTGAGACCCTGTAGGAAAAACAGAGGGAAAACAGTGTGATTAAAACTTTACTATTTTATTTTAACTCAAACACAAGCACATGACATAGAAACTTGGAAGTTGATCATTTTTGAGTTGTCATGAAATCAACTTGCTAATGTGGTTTCTAAAATGTATAACATACTGTTATCTATAAAAAATGAACAAAGGTACATGTTTTACCTATGCAACATAATTTTGGCCAATAACAGTACATTTAGTACAGTTAGCACAATGTGAATTGGGGGGTATAAGTTTCTATAAATTCTTAGCTATATTAGCCTTATGTCTCTGGTGCAAAACTAAAGAAGCAAACTTCAGACACCAAACACCTGTGATACGGGTGTGGTGGGGCAGTCTTTTATTGATCATATGGTCCATATAAGACTAAAACTCTTTTCACTAGAGTAAACTCCTTTCTGTACTAATGGGCTACTCAGAATGTTAATGATAGTGTAATGATCAACAGTAAATGGCCCTGAATTCATATCCACAACAAAAAAAATACATAGGACACTTGCGAGAAGCACTAGATGTAAAGCATTTTAATCAGCTATCTTCCAGATCACTCCAACATGAATTATTCTATTTTGAAGGGTGCTATAGCTCCACAGGCCTTTGCCTATAGCCACTTTGATCTGACTGCTTTCATGTCAGAGAAGGAGGAGAATAGAAGCTGCCATGGGCAGCTGGGCTTCCTCACACAATCACACATCTCCCCTTAAGCAAGAGGAAATGTAGATTTGCTGCATGGTCATCTAGTGGATTGCCATCAAGTCTGTTCATTAGACAGTGACCACTGCCACCATCCAGATATAATATGGTAAAATTTAACACAGTCTAAAAATATAACCTCGGAAATGTCTGGATCACTGCTAGGGAGGGCTGTGTGCTGGAAAAGATATTTTAGTGTTTCTGGCTCTGGATATGAGACAAAGAGCATGCTCTTTTGCAGGTACACCCACACAACAGAACAATGGCTCCTCTAACAAAACAAAGCCTAAATATCTATTGCCAGTCTCCACGCAGTGAAAATAAAGGTCTTAAAGAATCCAAACCAGCATACAAAACACTGCAACATTGTTTCAGCGGCAGAACCAAAGATGTACTGACTATTTACTGAGAAAGATTTATTTGCTTAGTCTAGGTCTTTTACAGTACTGAGCAGAAGGACAATGAAATGAGGACCTCTAGCTAATGAAACACAGCCCCTGAATTTCTCCAAGAAGGACTGCATATAAAAGTAGGGATGAAACAGAGTGACAGGATTCACTTTTTTCAGGAGAGCAGTGTTGCAGTACTTGAGTTTAATTTAGTTAAACAAATGATAAATAAACATCATTTTGATTCGGTCTCGTCTCAGCCTTGTGGTAAGGTCAGCGCAGAAAATGTTCTCAAGGTCAGCTGAGTGCAAGTCCTCTGTTTGAGGTAATTTGACACAGAACTTTTTTCAGTCATAACTGAATATCAACAACACCTTCAAATAGAATAAAACAGTCCTTTCCTTACATTGGAGTATTATTATGACTTTTCATAATTTCATTTATTTTTCATTTATTTTATTTAAAATGTTTTCATTTATTAAGACTTTTCATATGTTTTCATTTAATAATAAAAAGACATTTACGTTGTTTGGTTTATATTCAGGTGACTTCAGGTAGTGACTTCTGAACAAGTTTTAGTGAAGGGACATACATAGTTCTATACTCTTAAATGGTTCTTTGCATGGTGGAATGGTTCTTCAGATAGATAGGACCATATACAACATATTCTCTATCGAGAACCTTTCTGAAAAAAGTTCCATATAACACTAAAAAGCTTGACATCATAACAATAGAAGAACCCTTTTTGGTGCTATATAGAACCGTTTTCAAAAGGTTCTACAGTAGTGTGAAAAAGTGTTTGCCCCCTTCCTGATTTCTTATTCTTTTGCATGTTTGTCACACTTAAATGTTTCAGATCACCAAACAAATGTAAATATTAGACAAAGATAACACAAGTAAACACAAAATGTTGTTTGTAAATGAAGGTCTTTATTATTAAGGGAAAAAGAAATCCAAACCTATAGGGCCCTGTGTGAAAAAGTGATTGCCCCCTAAACCTAATAACTGATTGGGCCACCCTTAGCAGCAACAACTGCAATCAAGCGTTTGCGATAACTGGCAATGAGTCTTTTACAGCGCTGTGGAGGAATTTTGGCCCACTCATCTTTGCAGAATTGTTGTAATTCAGCCACAGTGGAGGGTTTCCGAGCATGAACCGCCTTTTTAAGGTCATGTCACAGCATCTCAATCGGATTCAGGTCAGGACTTTGACTAGGCCACTCCAAAGTCTTAAATTTGTTTTTCTTAAGCTATTCAGAGGTGGACTTACTGATGTGTTTTGGATCATTGTCCTGCTGCAGAACCTAAGTGCGCTTCAGCTTGAGGTCACAAACAGCCGGACATTCTCCTTCAGGATTTTTTGGTAGACAGCAGAATTCATGGTTCCATTTACCACAGCAAGTCTTCCAGGTCCTGAAACAGCAAAACAGCCCCAGACCATCACACTACCACCACCATATTTTACTGTAGGTATGATGTTCCTTTTCTGAAATGCTGTGTTACTTCTACGCCAGATGTAATGGGACATACACCTTCCAAAAAGTTCAACTTTTGTCTCGTCAGTCCACAGAGTATTCTCCCAAAAGTCTTGGGGATGATCAAGATGTTTTCTGGCAAAACTGAGACGAGTCTTTATGTTCTTTTTGCTCAGCAGCGGTTTTCGTCTTGGAACTCTGCCATGAAGGCCATTTTTGCCCAGTCTCTTTCTTATGGTGGAGTCATGAACACTGACCTTAACTGAGGCAAGTGAGGCCTGCAGTTCTTTGGATGTTGTTGTGGGGTCTTTTGTGACCTCTTGGATGAGTCGTCGCTGCGCTCTTGGGGTAATTTTGGTCGGCCGGCCACTCCTGGGAACGTTCACCACTGTTCCATGTTTTCGCCATTTGTGGATAATGGCTCTCACTGGGGTTCACTGGAGTCCCAAAGCTTTAGAAATGGCTTTATAACCTTTACCAGAGTGATAGTTCTCAAATACTTTGTTTTTCATTTGTTCCTGAATTTCTTTGGATCGCAGCATGATGTCTAGCTTTTGAGGATCTTTTGGTCTGCTTCACTTTGTCAGGCAGGCCCTATTTAAGTGATTTCTTGATTGAGAACAGGTGTGGCAGTAATCAGGCCTGGGTGTGGCTAGGGAAATTGAACTCAGCTTTCCAAAGATGTGATAAACCACAGTTAATTTATCTTTTTCACACAGGGCCCTGTAGGTTTGGATTTCTTTTTCCCTTAATAATAAAGACCTTCATTTATAAACTACATTTTGTGTTTACTTGTGTTATCTTTGTCTAATATTTAACTTTGTTTGGTGATCTGAAACATTTAAGTGTGACAAGCATGCAAAAAGAATAAGAAATCAGGAAGGGGGCAAACACTTTTTCACACCACTGTATATGGAACCATATACAACACATTCTCCATCAATAACCTGTACTATATAGAACTCATGGTTCCAAATAGAACCATTCCCTTTACTAAAGAACCCTTGAAGAACCATATTTTTATGAGTGTCTAATATAGAAATAATTAATGATATGGTGGTGGTGTGATAGTCTGTGTTGTGCTGGTCTGAGTGGATCAGACACAGCAGGGCTGTGAGTTTTTAAACACCTCAGTGTCACTGCTGGACTGACAATAGTCCACCAACCAAAAATATCCAGCCAACAGCGTCCTGTGGGCAGCGTCCTGTGACCACTGATGAAGGACTAGAGGATGACCAATACAAACTGTACAGCAGCATATGAGCTATCATCTCTGACTTCACATCTACAAGATGGACTGACAAGATAGGAGTGTCTAATAGAGTGGACAGTGAGTGGACACAGTGTTTAAAAACTCCAGCAGTACTGCTGTGTCTGATCCACTCATACCAGCACAACACACACTAACACCCCACCACCACATCAGTGTTACTGCAGTGCTGAGAATGATCTACCACCCAAATAGTACCTGCTCTGTGAGGGTCCATGGGGGTCCTGACCACTGAAGAACAGGGTAAAAGAGGGCTAACAAAGTATGCAGAGAAACAGATGGACTACAGTCTGTAATTGTAGAACTACAAAGTGCACCTATATAGTAAGTGGAGCTGGCAAAATGGACAATGAGGGTAGAAACAAGGAGGTGGTCATAATGTCATGCCTGATCAGTGTATTTTATATTTACACTTCTGGTCGCAGTCTTGACTCAGACTCAATGTGTACAGGTTTTGGTCTTGACTCAGACTCGTGTCTAGTGTCTCAACTCCAGCACTACAGGACAGCAGGGTGAAGATATGAACTAGAGGTCGATATTTGTTGCATCTTCAGCAGCATTAGCAAGTAGCAGTCTGTCAGCCCTGGACTGTTTTATAAATAGCTGCTGCGCTGTGCCCCTCTCATTTTTTAATTAGCATTTCCTCTACCACAGCCCTGCGCATTTTTTTTTCCAGATGTCACATAATCATGATGGTAATTTCTCAAACATGCTTTATATTCCTGAAAGGAGCAATTTTCCCCAGACACTGACACAGAGGAAGGGAAAGTAAAAATAGATGTGGTTCGTATTACTCAGACACGATAACCCAAAGGGTTTTGCAAGGCAACCACTGTGGATGGCTTGATGTGCCTCTCCAGGCTATGCATCTTCTAATGCAAATCTCTTACTAGTAATTTATCATTTAGGGCTCTAATTTGCATGTGCATACTTAGCATTTAGCAAAAGGCAAGGCTTCTTTCTTTCTTAGTAAGGTAACCATAGGTGCTTCCTGCTAATTGGCACGAAGGAGACGTATTATTTGGCTGTGCTGAGGCACTGCTGTTCACAAGACTTTTGAAGTAGATGAGAGATGCAATTTGAGCCAAAAGAGAACTGGAAACAATGCTTCAGTGATTGTTCTAGTGAAACAGAGAGATGCA